CCTTGGTTCAAGGGATGGAAAGTCACCCCTAAAGACGGGAATGCCAGTGGAACCACACTGCTTGAGGCTCTGGATTGCATCCTGCCACCAACTCATCCAACTGATAAGCCCTTGTGTCTGCCTCTCCAGGACGTCTACAAAATTGGTGGTATTGGTACTGTCCCACTGGGTCGAGTGGAGACTGGTGTTCTTAAGCCTGGCATGGTGGTCACCTTTGCTCCAGTCAATGTTACAACTGAAGTAAAGTCTGTTGAAATGCACCATGAAGCTTTGAGTGAGGCTCTTCCTGGGGACAGTGTGGGCTTCAATGTCAAGAACATATCTGTCAAAGATGTTCGTCATGGCAACGTGGCTGGTGACAGCAAAAATGACCCACCAAATGAAGCAGCTGGCTTCATGGCTCAGGTGATTATCCTGAACCATCCAGGCCAAATCAGTGCTGGATATGCACCTGTGCTGGACTGTCACACAGCTCACATTGCTTGCAAGTTTGCTGAGCTGAAGGAAAAGATAGATCGTCATTCTGGAAAAAAGCTGGAAGATGGTCCTAAGTTCTTGAAATCTGGGGATGCTGCCATTGTTGATACGGTTCCTGGCAAACCTACGTGTGTTGAGAGCTTCTCTGACTATCCTCCTCTGGGCCGTTTTGCTGTTTGTGACACGAGACAGTTGCTGTGGGTGTCATCAAAGCAGTGGACAAGAAGGCAGCTGGAGCTGGCAAAGTCACCACGTCTGCCCAGAAAGCTCAGAAGGCTAAATGAGTATTATCCCCAATACCTGCCACCCCAGTCTTAATCAGTGGTGGAAGAAGGGTCTCAGAACTGTTTGTGTCAATTGGACATTTAAGTTTAATAGTAAAAGACTGGTTAATGATAACAATGCATCGTAAAACCTTCAGAAGGAAAGAATGTTTTGTGGACTTTTTTTTTTTTTGTGCGTGTGTGGCAGTTTTATTAGTTTTTAAAATCAGTACTTTTTAATGGAAACAACTTGACCAAAAATCTGTCACAGAATTTTGAGACCCATTAAAACAAAAGTTTAATGAGAAAAAAAAAAAGAAACAGGGTCAGTGGAGGAGAGAAAGGTTGGAGGGACGGGGTAACAGGATGATGGGCGTTAAGGAGGGCACATGATGTAATGAGCACTAGGTGTTATATAAGACTGATGAATCACTGACCTCTACCTCTGAAACTAATAATACTTTATATGTTAATTAATTGAATTTAAATTTAAAAAAATTTAAATGGAACCAAAAACAAAAATGAAGGCAAAATAAAGACTTTATGACTAGTAGATTTTCATTAAAATAAATGTTAAAGGAGGTCCTTCAGATGGAAAGAATAAAATATTAAATGTCAGTCTGGCTCTACAAAAATGAAGGGCACTGGAAATGGTAGCTCAAGCTAAATATGTAGGGTTTTCCTACCATTTTTAACCATATGGATGGACCTTGAAGGCAGGATGTTGTGTAAAATAAGAGAAAGACAAATACTATCTTTCCATTTGTGTCTTTGGTTTCTTTCAGGAATGTTTTGTAGTTTTCAGTGCATTATGTCTTTCACTTCTTTGAGTTTATTCTTAATATTCTTTTTGAGGCTACTGTAAATGGGAGTGTTTCTTAATTTCTTTTTCAGAGTGTTGATTGTTAGGGTGTAGAAATGCAACATATTTTTGCATGTTGATTTTGTATCCTGCTACTTTACAGAATTTTTTGTATTCTAACAGTTTGTGTGTCTGTTTGCATAATCTTTAGTGTTTTCTACATAGAAAACCACATCATCTAAAATAGAGATAATTTTACATCTTCCTTTATAATTTTTATGCCTTTTCCTTGCTTTATTACTGTAGCTAGGACTTCCAGTATTGAATAGAAATGGTGAAAGTTGGCATCCTTGCCTTGTTCCTCATCTTAGAGTAAAAGCATATAGTTTTTCACCATTCAGTAAGATGTTGGCTGTGGGATTTTCAAATATTCTGTCGAGGTAATTTCCCTCTGTTCCTAGTTTGTTGAGAGTTTTTATGATAGGATGTTGAATTTTATCCAATGCTTTCCTGCATCTATTGAGGTGATCTTGTGATTTTTAATCCCTCATCCTGTGAATGTAGCACGTTACATTAATTGATTTGCATATGCTGAACCAACCTAATATTGCAAGATGTATCTCACTTAATCATGGTGTGTGATCCTTTTAATGTATGCTGTTAAATCTTGTTTACTTGTATTTTGTTTTGTTTTTTAAGATTTATTTATTTATTCGTTCAGAGAGAGCGAGAGAGAGAGCGAGAGAGAGGCAGAGACACAGGCAGAGGGAGAAGCAGGCTCCATGCAGGGAGCCCGATGTGGGACTCGATCCAGGATCTCCAGGATCACACCCCAGGCTGCAGGCGGCGCTAAACCGCTGTGCCACCGGGGCTACCCGGTTTACTTGTATTTTGTTAAGAGTTTTTGCACTTATGTTCATCAGGGATATTAGTCTATAGATTAGTTTTTTTTTGTAGTGTCCTTGTCTGGCTTTGGTATCATGGTCATGCTGGCCTCATGAAATATGTTTGGAAGTGTTCTCTCCTCTTCAGTTTTTTGGAACAGTTTGAGAAGGATCAACATTAATTTTTCTTTGTATGTATGGTAGATTCACTGGAAAAGCCATCTGATCCTAGTCTTTGCTTTGTTCAGAGTTTTTTGATTATTTGTTCAATCTCCTTACTCTAGTTACAGGTATGCTCAGTTTCTGTTTCTTTATGATTCTGTCTTGGTAGATTGTATGCTTCTAGGAATGTGTTTCTTCTATATAATCCAATTTGTTGGCATCTAATTGTTCATAGTGGTGTCTTATAATCTATTTTGCTTGGGTTTGGTTGTTTCACATGGGAGAGTATGTGTGGTACCTGTTGTATCAACATGACCAGAAGCAGAAATTCCATCCTTATTGATTTTAATAATTTATTTTTTGGGTTGAAATAGTATGTTTCTAAGAAGAAAAGTACAAAAATTTATATTCAGAAAATATCACTCCCTCTCATTTCTTCTTACCCCATTCTGTCCACTTTTATTTTCATCTTGGTCCTACCTTTTCTTGTGAGATATCTCATTAGTTTTCTGATTTGCCCATTTAGTTGTGTTTTTTTTGCACTAATAAATATTACCTATTTTTTTATTACATCTCCTCTTATTTACATGAAAGGTAGCATACTATCAGTAGCCTTCTGCACTTTGATTTATCAGCCTATTGTAGATATGTAACAACCTATCCTAGATATCACCCTATATAATTTCATAGAGGTCTTCCTCATTATTTTTGTAGTTTCACAGTACCACACCGTAGATGCTCCATAGATAATTCAACTATTGTCCTTTGTCTGGCATCTAGGTTGATTCTATATTTTGCATTTACAGTGTTCCACATTTATATTTTCCTGCTGTTGGAAGTTGAGGAATCCTAGCTCACTTGGAGCTAACTAGATGATGCAAAATCCTACTCCAAATCTAAGTAATACACAGGCTAAGATTTTAGTTTCTCATAGGAAGCTCTTTTTCTTTTCCTTACTCCAAACTTGAGAGTAAACAAATACCTTACCACCTTTTAGGGATAGTAGGAGGAGTATTCCTAGTCATTGAGTGTTTTTGTCAGTTTGCACTGCTATAGTAAAAGTCCATAGATTGGATTTATTTTTATATAAAAATTTATTTTTCACAATTCTAGAGGCTCGGAAGTCTAAGATCAAGGTACCAGCCTATTTGGTTCTTTGTGAGGCCTCTTTTCTTGATATGCAGATAGATGCTTTTACTATATCCTTACATAGTGGAGAGAGAAATATCTCCCCCATGTCTTTTTTAAAAAAAGATTTTATTTATTTATTCATGAGAGACACACAGAGAGAGAGAGAGAGGCAGAGGGAGAAGCAGGCTCCATGCAGGGAGCCTGGTATGGGACTCAATCCCAGGTCTCTAGGATCACGCCCTGGGCTGAAGGTGGCGCTAAACCGCTGAGCCACCAGGGCTGCCCTCCCGTCTTCTCATAACACTAGTCCCATTCATGAGGGCTCCACCCTCATGGTCTAATTACCTCCCCATCTAATTAGCTCCCAAAGGTTTCACCTTCCCTCATGTCACATTGAGGATTAAAGTTTTAACACATGTGTTTGGGGGAAGGAGGACATACACATTTAGTTGATAGCACTGAAGGTTATGGTTTTGGAGGACTCCAGCTTTATGCATGTCTCAAGTCTAGTTGCTTAACCTTCCATAGTTCCAAGCCCTTCTCTACTTTTTAAAAAATTATTTATTTATTCATGAGAGAGAGAGAGAGAGAGAGAGGCAGAGACACAGGCAGAGAGAGAAGCAGGCTTCATGCTGGGGGCCCGACGTGGGACTCGATTCTGGGTCTCCAGGATCACACCCTAGGTCGAAGGCGGCTCTAAACTGCTGAGCCACCCAGACTGCCCCTCTTCTCTACTTTTGATGAAAGCCCATACTTACAACTTTTTTCTGCAGTCCTCCTTAAAGACTGCCCTAGATTCTCACCAAATGGTTTCAGTTTTTAAAAGTCATCTGTTTTTCCCCGGCACCTGGAAAATTCATTTTCTTTAAGTTCAGTTAGACATTTTAAAAACATGTTTAAATATTTTATTTAAGAATTCAGAGAGGAAAGATTTTCATGTTAATTTAGACCACTAGTGTTGCTGGATGACTTACATATATGCCCTTGCACCAACACACCTCCCACATACCATCTACACCCTAAGAGGAGCAGCCTGCCCAGGACATCTGATGTCACTCAGTGAGGAATTAACTTGATTCTAGAACCAACCTTTTGGCACAGAAAGCATTTAGCTCTCATGATAAGGAATTTGCCATGTCCAGATTTTGAAAAATCACAATTAAGAAGGAAAATGCCTAGTGATAGCCAAGATGAAAGTAAATGACTATGTAATTTTTGAGATGTATCATTCATATGAAATGTCCATTTTATTTATTTCATTTTATATCATGTTCATTTTAGGTGATAATTCTGAAGAGAAATAAAATTCAAAGATTGGGAGTATCTGAACTCAACTTTTGGGTAAGCTTCAACATTTTTAACCATTTCTTCAAACTCTTTCTTTCTATAAACTGAATACAGACAATATACTTTAAAAATTGAATGACTTATGATCAATAAATATTACCAATACCTGCTCACATAGGGTGAGAAATAACCCTAAACAACATCTACAAGTCATTATCCAGAAATTATTTCATATATTTCAGCACTATGCTCATGCTTCTCTTTACTTTTCATTTTGGTATATCCTTACTGCCTTGCTTTCTTTTTTTTTTTTTTCTGCCTTGCTTTCTAAATTTCTTTCTGTCTTGAGTTTCTCTCCTTAGATTTACTAACTTTCTTTTCAGCATAACTCAGTATGTAGTCCTGATCTCACTTTCCCTTTTTCTTTTTCTACATCTATCATCTATCTGTTCTTCTGCTTCCCACTTAGACTCTCTCATTTTTGTTCCTGTAACATTTTCCCTACATTCTCCCAGCCCCTTCTTACTTCAACTCAGCTACCACCTAATATTTATTTGACTTCTTCCCAAATATACAAATGTATGGCCCATGTTACCTCTATATTTGTATGTTTTGTTTCCAAGTAAAATAAATATATTATTTAGGTAGGCACTGCAATTACTAATTCTTGTAATATTGGAGAGATGACATTTCTTCTTTTTTTCTTGGCCTTTGATGTAGATGTAGGCCTTTTTTCTTGGCCTTTTAATACCTATTAAAAAAATAAAACCTGCTATATTGAAGAACTATGTGATTACATGTGGCATATTAATAGGGCAAAACTGGAGAAGTTATGTAAGATCAGCTAGATTTCTATTCAGAATGCAAAAGAACAAAATGGACTGAGTTGCCAATTACTCATTGCTGAAGTCTTTTTCCTATCCCTAATGGTGAAAATGAGTAATATTTGTGCACTTCAATTATTGGATAACATGACCCTTCTAACATGATTTCTCAACTTCAAAAAATTAACAGTTTTTAAAAAGATTAAGCCAAGAAATCATCAGAAAATTCAAAGATCTTTATTTAATAATTGAATTCAAAAGAAAGTAAAAATTTCCATTACAGACTATTAAAAAATGGCAACAAATGGAACAGTATCCATGGACATTTAAGGAATTCTGTCAAAACTGTACTAAGAAGAAAATTTATTGTCTTAAGTATTTACGGTTTAGACTGGGAAGAGTAAAAATTAAGTTTTCAACTCAAGAATTTCAGAAAAAGAAAAATCTAAAAAAAAAGTTGACATATAATTAATATTCAGCTTACATTTATGTTTTGATGTTAATATAATTGATATTGTCAGTCTTTTGCAAAAGGGAGCAACAAATCATGTTAGTCATCTAGATAATGGAAAGGCCATTATGGCTTTTTTGGCTTTTTTTTTCCCCCATAAAAGACCATCAAAAAAGAAAAGAAAAGCTATTTTGTGAACTAACACTTCTTACAACCTCTCTCCCCAAAACTTGTTTTACTCCAAGTATTTCTTTCATCCCTGTGGAATAAAAACTTATATTGCATATCTTACTCTGTATGGTATTTAGAAATCAAGACCTGAGTGCAGACTGTTCTCATTGCTACCATTGTGTCCTTACTTTTAGACCCATACATATAGATACATATACACACACATACATCTAAGTATTTGTATCATTGAAATTACACAAGGAGAGGTAAAGGAGAGTGGGGCTGAAAAAAATTTGAATAAGTAACAGCTGAAGACTTCTGCCAAATTTTAATCAAATTTGGTTAAAATACATAAATCTACAGAGTCAAGAAACTGAGTGAACCCCAAGTAGGAAAAATCCAATAAGATCCATGCCAGGACATATCATAATTAAATTTCTGGAAGCCAAAGACAAAAAAAAAATTAAATCAGGCAGAGAGAAATGATGTGTTACTATAGGGTAAAACTGAATTGGATTCTAGTAGCCTTCCCATCTGAAACTATGGGGCCAGAAAAAGATGGCATAATGCTTGTCAAATGCTGAAAGAATTCTAAATTCAAATTACATGTCCAGTGAAAGTGTCTTTCAGGAGTGGAGGGGAAATAAAAGACATTCTCAGATGAAAGAAAACGAAGAAAATGTGTTACTAGCAGAGCAACCTGTAAAGAATGGTTAGTGCAAATTCTTGAAGCAGAAGGTAAATGGCCAGAAGAAATCTTAGAACATGAGGAAGAAATAAAAACAAAAAAAAAATGGATACATAAAGGAGCAAATATCATAGACTGTTCTTGAGCATTTCTTTTTTCTTTTTTTTTATAAAGCGTTGGTTTTTATTGTTTCTTTTTTTTTATAAATTAATTTTTATTGGTGTTCAATTTACCAACATACAGAATAACACCCAGTGCTCATCCCGTCAAGTGTACCCCTCAGTGCCCGTCACCCATTCACCCCCACCCCCCGCCCTCCTCCCCCTCCACCACCCCAGTTCATTTCCCAGAGTTAGAAGTCTTTATGTTCTGTCTCCCTTTCTGATATTTCTCACACATTTCTTCTCCCTTCCCTTATATTCCCTTTCGCTATTATTCATATTCCCCAAATGAATGAGAACATACACTGTTTGTCCTTCTCCGGTTACTGTGGCCAAGTTCAAAAAGGGTGTTGCCTGAGTTCTTCTCTGGGATTTTGATGGAATCTTGTCTCACATTTAGATCTTTCATCCATTTTGAGTTTATCTTTGTGTATGGTGCATGAGAGTGGTCCAGTTTCATTCTTCTGCATGTGGATGTCCAATTTTCCCAGCACCATTTATTGAAGAGAGTGTCTTTCTTCCAGTGGATCGTCTTTCCTCCTTTATCGTATATTAGTTGAGCATAAAGTTCAGGGTCCACTTCTGGGTTCTCTGTTCTGTTCCATTGATCTATATGTCTGTTTTTGTGCCAGTACCACACTGTCTTGATGAACACAGCTTTGTAGTACAACCTGAAATCTGGCATTGTGATGCCCCCAGATATGGTTTTCTTTTTTTTAAAATTCCCCTGGCTGTTTGGGGTCTTTTCTGATTCTACACAAATCTTAAAATAATTTGTTCTAAGTCTCTGAAGAAAGTCCATGGTATTTTGATAGGGATTGCATTATACGTGTAAATTGCCCTGGGTAACATTGACATTTTCACAATATTAATTCTGCCAATCCATGAGCATGGAATATTTTTCCATCTCTTTGTGTCTTCCTCAATTTCTTTCAGAAGTGTTCTGTAGTTTTTAGGGTATATTTTGAGAACCATTTGAATGGTAAATGGTTCTCCAACCTTTTATTTTCAGGTTGTAGGTGCCCTTCTGTCTAGAATGAGTCTCTTGTAGACAGCAAATAGATGGGTCCTGTTTTTTTATCCAGTCTGAAACCCTGCGCCTTTTGATGGGGTCATTAAGCCCATTCACGTTCAGAGTTACTTGAACTTCTTCTTAAAGGGGAGTTTTAAGAGTCCCCCTTAAAATTTCTTGCAGAGCTGGTTTGGAGGTCACATATTCTTTCAGTTCCTGCCTGTCTTGGAAGCTCTTTATCTCTCCTTCCATTTTGAATGAGAGCCTTGCTGGATAAAGTATTCTTGGTTGCATGTTCTTCTCATTTAGGACCCTGAATATATCCTGCCAGCCCTTTCTGGCCTGCCAGGTCTCTGTGGAGAGGTCTGCTGTTACCCTAATATTCCTCCCCATGAAAGTCAGGGACTTCTTGTCTCTTGCTGCTTTAAGGATCTTCTCTTTATCTTTGGAATTTGCAAGCTTCACTATTAGATGTCGAGGTGTTGAACGGTTTTTATTGATTTTAGGGGGGGATCTCTCTATTTCCTGGATCTGAATGCCTGTTTCCCTTCCCAGATTGGGAAAGTTTTCAGCTAGGATTTGTTCAAATACATATTCTGGCCCTCTGTCCCTTTCGGCGCCCTCGGGAACCCCAATTAAACGTAGGTTTTTCTTCCTTAGAGTGTCATTTATTTCCCTTAATCTGTCTTCATGGTTCTTTAATTGTTTATCTCTTTTTTCCTCAGTTTCCCTCTTTGCCATTAACTTGTCTTCTATGTCACTCACTCGTTCTTCCACCTCGTTAACCCTCGTCGTTAGGACTTCTAGTTTGGATTGCATCTCATTCAGTTGATTTTTAATTTCTGCCTGATTGGATCTAAATTCTGCAGTCATGAAGTCTCGTGAGTCCTTAATGCTTTTTTCTAGAGCCACCAGTAGCTGTATAATAGTGCTTCTGAATTGGCTTTCTGACATTGAATTGTAATCCAGATTTTGTAGCTCTGTGGGAGAGAGGGCTGTTTCTGATTCTTTCTTTTGAGGTGAGGTTTTCCTTCTAGTCATTTTGCTCAGTGCGGAGTGGCCAAAAACAAGTTGTATGGGAACACGGCGGGGTATCACTGGTCCCACCCCCTCCCCCCCCCCCCCCACCCCTTCACACCCCCACCCCCCCCCCCACCCCCCCCCCCCCCCCCCCCCCCCCCCCACCTTCCACCCCCCCACCCCCCCCCTCGCTCCAGTGGTCTTCTGGGGGAGGGGCCTGTTGCGCTGATTTTCAGGTGTTAGCACTTGGGGGAGCTGCTCTGCCCCTGCCTGCTGCAGGGCTCAGCGGGGGTTGTTTACCCCGTGAGGTCTCAGGAGGATCAGCCGCAGTTGCTATGGCAACTCTGGAAGCCTGGATTCAGCCTCCGCAGGAACTACGGGGCTCGGGGCTCTCGGCTCTCCGTCCCCGTCCGCAGGGCCTGGAAGCTCCGGGGCGGGGCCGCTGATCTGCTCAGCTCGGGGCAGGAGCGTCCTTGCTGTCCTGGGCCCTCCCGGCCTCTGCCTGTCCCGGGGGGAGGCCGGATCCTGGGCTGTGTCCCAGCGCCCTGTGCTCCGGGGCCTGTGTTGTTGGATTTGCGCTCCCGCCCCGCAGCTCCCTCCCTGGAGCCGCTCCCGAGCCCCTCCGAGCTGCTCCGGTGCGCGCTGCAGCCCTTAGGGAGCTCGGCGCACTCCCCTGCGCTCGCAGGTGTCTGTTAGTGTCCCCGGGAGCCCGAGGGCATCCCCGCCC